CAGCATCCGATGGCGATTGTAAGCAAGCAATCATCTTTTACTCGCTATCTCTTTACGACAATCATATAGTTGAAACTTAGAAATGATTGTAACTTAAACATTGTTTCTCTTGTTTATTGCCAATAGCTGAAGCTGTGTATTAAGAAGTTTCTTCTTCCCGAAGAAGAGATCAAGTTTTGCAGACAAGAGAAGCTTTATTTTTATAGAGCAGTTTTTAATAAAATCCATTGTTCGATGATAGTTTGTGATTCACTAGTTATCATGAAGTCATGCATGTACATTAGTCACTTTAATACATGTTTTTGACTAATTCCTTGATAAGCTCTCTGTTTTGGCCCAAGTGGTCTCCATTTACAGATTCCTCTTAACATCAAGCAGCTCAGAAGATATTCGATTTTCAACCAAAAACAAAACTTGCAATATTCCAATTTCAACATCCAATAAAAGGAAGAAGATTTTGATGGCAAAAAAAAGTTTTTTTTCACCCTCAATAATCTGATTCGAGTTTTTTTTATATAAGTCTCTGTCTGAACCAGAAAGTGTTCTTATATTTCACCTTTTCGTTATTCGGAGGCTATAAACACATTCATACCAATACACAAAGATCTTAAAATTTCGGTGTGAAGATTTTCGAGAAAAAGTTTAATTTGAAGAAAAAAAATCAAAGCTTCCTCTCAAAAGCGAAAACACTACTCCCTTCGTTTCATAATATAAATTGTTTTGGAAGTTTTTTTTTGTTTTAAAATGTAAGTTGTTTTGACAATCTTAAATACTTTTTAACTTTATTGAATATTGTGTGACCACTAGTATTTTGCAGTCTTTTGTGTGATTGGTCAAATTATTTTTAACAAATATATTAAATGATACTTTTTAGTAGAAAAGTAGTTTCTTAATATTCGCGATTTTAGCTAAAACAACTTATATTAAAAAACAGAAGGAGTAATAAAGTATTTTGATTGATCAGATTTGATTTTTGCCTACTAACTAAACCAAAATATGAAATTGCCTAAGAACTAGGGTTCAAAAAGCTACTCAAAGGAGGCAAATTTATTGATTCCTCAAAGATGAAAAACTAAAACAAGAACGATGGGAAAAAGCAAAGAGATTTGATGTTGTTATGAATTTGGAAGAGAAGTGTGTGGCGCAACCTTTTTATTCACTCTGTTTTCTAGAGTTCTTAAGTGGTTTGGTTTATAGACTATTTTACCCTCTCTTGCAAAACGATTCGGTTTGGTTTTCTAACACCAAATTAATCAATCTGCCAATATTGAAATCGGTTTCGGTTTTGTGTGTTTTGGTTCATATTCTTCCAAATTGTCAAGGTAATGATGATCAAATATATCCAAAATATATTGAATAACCCTTGAATATATCTTTACTATTTGAATATTTTAAATTTAAAAGTTGATATACTTTTAAATCTTTATGCAGTTTAACTTTTTATTTTATTTTCTCTCAATGCATTATTGTAAAACTTATTTTTACTTTTTATAAATATTTTATTCACTTTTTTGATATAGTTCTTTCACATCTATTGCAACAACATTACACAAATTATTATTCAGTCATGTTTCTATGAATTTTTTTCTTTCCAAATATGATAGATGTTCCAATCTAACTTATCATTCTATATTCTTAAACATATATGTTAACAAATTGACATTGGATAATGAAATAGAAAATCTGGATATTCTTATAAAATTTTACCTTTTCCTTGCATGCATTTGGACATTTTAGACTGGATGTACACAAATAAAATTTACTTTTTCCCCGGTATTATCTGCTTATAGCTGTATA